CTAAAAATTATGAATATGTTTACAACATAATTATTATATTTACAAATACAAATAACTAAATAGCTAATAAGATAACATAATTATACGAAAACACAAATACTAAATTAAAAATTATATTTTAAATAATAAAATTATGTTACCCAATTAATTTTTTTGTTTTAAATTATTTTAAAGCTAAACTAAATTATTAATACAGACTTGCGCGTAGCGCGAGTATAAAATCTAGTATTAAGAAAAGTGCATAGTAGTTATACATTTTTGTTACATTAGAGCATCTCTAATGGTGGACCCCATTGGAATATTTAAAACTTTTATTTTATTTCTTTAATTGTTTTTTCAGATTAAAAAAATAATATATATATATATATATATCAACCAATTGCGGACCGTCACGTGTCGTGGAGATCCGTAAATAACGTAAGAATTCACTAAGAAAGAATACTTAAAAGATTAATTTTTAAGGATTGAATCCTTAACTTTTTTGTGAAATCCACTGATTATTTAATTATTGTTTTAAATAAGGACTTCCCTACGCCAATTATACATGCTCTTAAAGCACTATTTAAAGTATAAATAGGAATATCTAACCAATCATAAAATAGTTTGGAATAAAAAATAGAATAAAACTAACTTTACTTAATAAATGTCAAACATGTTACTAAAAGATTCATATTTTACATTTTCAATGTATGTAATAATGGTAAATTGTAAACTTCAAAAACATTAATTATGTTTACTGAATTTTGATTGGTTAAAAATCATAGGAAATAGCTAAACACATAAAATAATGCATTTATTATCAAAATTTTAAGTGTTTTCTTAATAAGTGTGAAAATTCTAAAACATGGATTATTTAGGAACAGAGGGAGTATATTAGAAGAGAAGTAATAAGAATTCTCAATAATCTTATACCAAAGGAAAAATGTGTTCCGACACATATTCGTTGGAGTTTGAACGACAAGAACTATAAAGCAAAAGATTTAAAAGAAAAGAGAAAAGATAAAGTCGAAAGACAAACTTTGATAATCCCAAGAAGTTCCCCACTTTGAAATTGAATGAAATGAAAGATCGTATTCATCATGAAGCACAATGATTAATACAATATACATAGATATGGCACATACACATGCATAACAGTACACTACGCTTTATTCTTACACCATATTATATACAGAAATTTCTAACCAATAATTGCCCACAGCTATCTAGCGAAGAGGCCCGACTCTCTCGCCAAACTGTAGTTCAGTATTTTCTTTACGTATATAAAGAAAAAGAGAATGTATGTATGTATGTAACCCCAACAATAATCTAGGAAATAAACCTTATACTTGCTAAAAACGGAACTAAATCTGAAACCATTTAGCAAAACATTTCACGTATACTGTAGAGAGCCTTCGATATACGCAATCAAAACAAATGACGTCAACGTGACATAAAAGGAGAAAGCACGTGTGGTGGTGGGAGAGTCAAGAGTGGGTAATGTTTGTGGGGTTTAGTTTGATTTTGAAGTTTCAAAAGAAAGCAAGTAAAGAAGCAGACAGCTTCTCCATCACTTGTCAGGTTTATACATATTTTTATTTGCTTTCTTCTCTCATTGGACAATGACTACTCTTTTTCCTTCCACGTCCCTATCTCTTCAACAATCTTACGACGTCATAAATGATTTTTTTAAAACTAAAATTTGTGTTATTTTTAGTATTTATCAACTAAATAAGTAAATTATACCTGGATGAGACGACGAAGTGGACGTTGAGGACCTTTAGCCGCGTGAGTACCTAACCATGGCGTATGACGCCAAACAGTTTTACCGTCCGAGCCGGATATGAGTTTAGTGCCACCGAGAACAAGCTCCAGAGACCACATCCCAGGGTGCATCTGCCACAATACAAAGCAGCCACTATCACCGGTCCGACCATTTCCGCCGCCACCAAGTGTTTTTACGCTTTTTCCGGCGGCTATCTCCGTCTCACAGCAACTCATTTTCATTATCCCCGTCGCGTACATGTTCTTCGCCGCCTTAGCTCGCTTTAGGCATCCCGTCGCCGCTAAGTATTGTTGTATTATGTAATGTGCCGTCGACGTCTCCTATAATATAAAATAATTAATATAAATAAAACAAAACTTATATATGCATACCTAAGGTATACTTACTAATTTTCATAATTAACATTGTGGATGATTTAATAACATTACTTGGTTAGGTGCTGGATTATTAGTTTGGACTTTTGTTTGGGATCTATGATTATCCAAATCAGAAAAAAACTAACAAATATTATCTTATAGATTAACTACTGATCAAGACTTTTTCCAATTTAAATGATAACATTTTAAATATAATCACACTTAATATAACTATGACTAACAAACACTAAAAAAATATATTAGTCAATCAATTAGCTTATATTTGTGTTAGAGTTATTTTAAGAAAACAAAAAAATTTGCAGTGGAATTAAAGACATGATTCGATATAACCCACCATTAAATAAAAAGAAGTCTAAAAGAGGTAGTAATAATACTCACAAATGGGACATTCTTGATTTGGAAAGAGCCAAGAAGAGGGTCATCCGGTAATAAATCGGAGCCGACGACGGAGATTGGAGCAAGAGGACAACCTAAGACGCCGAGCAAGAGCCTCACATCTTGTCCTTTGGCCGCCACGTCATAACTACTGCAATGTGGTTGTACGGAGGGAGAAGACATGTTACCAGAAATACCTTTGTGAACCTTAAACCATTCTCTAATGGCTTCCCATGAGCTCTCCTTCTTGGCTCTTTCATCTTGCATGTCTGGATCTGGTCCTTCCATTAATGGCGTTAGCGTTTGTGGAGGCGTTCCCCATCTTTGCTTCCTCCAGTATGATTTTGAGTTGCTCATTATGATGTAATGATACCAAAGTGTGATGATGATGATGATGATAATGATGAGTGTGTGGTTGTTTCAGCTGTTTTTTTTTTCTTGGGTTCGAATATCTTATAGAATGGTTTTTGTACTACAAAGTGAAAATTATTGGTATATATTTATATATGTATTTAGCTTGTAGAGAGAGAGAGATGGATAGACAAAAGGGACATTGTATCAGTCCAGGGGTCCCCGAAGCTTAACCTTATAAAATTTAAATTCTTCGAATATTTACAAATCACAAAATTATTTTGGATACTTTTCTCATCTCTCCATATATTTAATTAATCATTGAGGAATACATGAATTATTCTTTTCTTTACTAATCTAGAAAAAAAATTCCGTTTTTGTATAACTAGTATATTTTGTCGGATAAATAAGAGTTTAGTTATGCTTCAAAGTAATTTTATATCTCTTTTTCAGCAAATACTGTTCTGCCTTGAAGAGATAACCAATTACAAATATTCATACGTGGAAAGGAATGTGGAACAGCGACTAATAACATGGAATAAAATCAGTATATCATGTGAATAGATCCGATCCGTGCAGCTTCTTTTTGTACACTATGGGCTCTCCTTTTGAGTCATTGATCAAACACTTTTTTGGTCCTTTCAATTTGAATTTTTATTTTATCATTTTAACATATGATCTTAGGCTTGTTCTTTCGAGGATTTCTATGCTAATCTTTTAATTTAATTGTAACCATGATCTCTAGGTGTAATCTTTCTTGGAAAATGACACCACACCACAGTGATATCACTGTTGATTAATGGAAACTTATAGTGTTTTTTATATCAGATAAGGTGTTGTGTCTTTTGATAAAGGACTCAAGACTGCCTACAGGTTTAATCTTTTTTCTTTCTCCTTTCATTGTCTGGATGTCTTGGGATTCATTCCATAAATTTGTCATGAGAACAAAAATATAGCCATGACCACAATATTCCCCTAGAATATTTATACAAATATACAGAAATATTTGAAAATGCAGAATAATTTAGTGCTCAACAAATCCATGACCTAGAAATTAAATAAGAATACATATATAATCCACTAGTGTAAAAATAAATAAACATAGTTCTTGTATTTTGAATATACATTGCATTCAACACAAGGTGGCACGTCACTAGTGAGAATGGTGGCGGTAGATAGATGGATAATCTTATAAGCCAAGACTTGTCTCATTATTCATTTTGATAGTCACCTCTCGCTATTCTTTTCTTCTCGAGATGTTGAGACGTTGGAGGTAAAGTTTCACCCATTCTCTACACCAAGTGGAAGCATAACATGTCGTGAACCACGTGAGATGTCAATTTAAGTTTGACCTAACCTTATTACTGGGCGTTTACTTAACTGCCCAAATAAGAATTTAATACAAACACGTACATTTACATATTGATGCAAACATGTAATTTTTACGCATATGCTTCAATTATTGGTCTGAAAAAAATCTATTAAAAAGGACTATAGCACATACAAATCACTAAACATCACACGATCTTTTGAGTCTGCGACCAAACAATCTATGCGAGATTTTGATAATTTTATTTATTAACAATATACATGATTCCAAGATTATATAATTGTCAGGTAGTGGTTGATTGTTTTATCATTCACGTAATAATTATCACAACCTCATAGAGAACAATAATGGAGGATTCATCAGCACCACTGTTGACCAACATCGAAGACGAAGACACTTCTCAACCTTTGACCTTCGACAAGATTTTCGAACAGAGCTTGTCTGGTTTCAGTTTCTCACAGTTCTTACAGATACTTCTTGTCGCGGTTGCCTTCACCTTCGACGCGCAACAGATATTCATCACCGTCTTCACAGATGCATATCCCACGTGGCACTGTCTCGACCACACGGTCTGCAACCCAACAACCACCGACATCTGTGAGCTTCCCCGGTCAGCCTGGGAATGGGACGGCGGGTCCAAGGGCAAAACCGTCATTTCAGAGTTCGAACTCGAGTGCTCGAGCTCTTTCCTCAGAGGTCTCCCCACGTCTGCTTTCTATTTAGGTTCAATCGTTGGAGGCGTTTTCATGGCTATGATTCCAGACAGTTTCTTGGGACGGAAGCAACTACTTTTCTTCACAACCCTAGCTATGTCATGCGCTGGAATCTCAATCTACTTCTCCACCAACATATGGATCTACGTTTTGTTAAAGTTCATCATCGGATTCGCGCGTTCACAGATAGGCACGTACGGGTTCAATCTCATAGGTGAGCGAGTTTCCACGAAATGGAGACCACGAGCTGCTATGATTCCTTTTACTCTCTTTGTCTTAGGGCTCATGTCTTTGTCTGGAATCGCTTACCTTGTTAGACACGCTTCTTGGAGAGTTCTCTATCTCTGCACATCTGTTCCAGCAGGTATCAACAGTATCTTCATCTATTTCTTTGCCCTAGAGTCTCCTCGTTGGCTTCATGTCCAAGGAAAGAACGAAGAAGCTATTGAAGTGCTCAAAAAGATTTCACCTGCAAACAGAGGTTACTTGGAGTCAGTGTCTTCTAGGTTACCTTCAAAAGATGACGTGGAGAACACTCAAACCAGCTCGATAAAGGACTTGTTCATCAGAAAATGGGCTTTTCGAAGAATCTTGGTCGTTATGATCATAATGTTCGGGTTAGGTATGATGTATTACGGTGTTCCCTTAGCGGTTAGAGACATAGACGTGAACGTCTACTTAAGCGAAGCCCTAAACGCAGCGGTGGAGTTACCAACCTTTGTAATCACACCAATCTTGCTAGAGAGATTCAACAGAAGAAGCTCTCTCCTTGTGAACTGCTTGGTCGGAGGAGCATTAGGAGTGTTATGTTTCGTTCTAACCCTTTTCGGACAAACAAACATCGCTTTTGTATTTGAACTTGGCTCGTTCTTCTGCGCTAGGATAGGGTTTAACTTGATGGCGGTTTATATGATTGAGATGTTTCCAACAAGCGTGAGGAACTTTGCGACAACGATGCTTAGAATGTCGCTTGTGCTTGGAGGAGCTGCTTGTCCAATCATTGCTTCTGTCGGAAGAAATGTTCCGTCGCTCTCTTTTGCGGTTTTTGGGGTTACGGTGGCGGGTCTTGGATTATTCACGTTGTTTCTTCCTGAGACTAAAGGGTCAAGTCTTTGTGATACAATGGAAGCACAAGAGCTGAGGGAACAAGCCATGGAGACTAGCAATATATAGTTTTTTATGTGTATTCTTTATATGTGAAAGTTTTATACTTAATAACTCGAATCATTTCGATCATCATTGCCAAAAATAAAAATGGATTATCATCAGAAAATAGAGGTAAACGTAGGCTAAAACTAATGCCAGTTGGGCAATGTTGAAATAAATGTTTATCCTTATTTTTTTTCATATAATTTTTATTGTAATGTTTTACATACAATAAAAATTGTCGTCTAAAGTGATGTCCAAAAATATTGATTTTTTTTCCTGTGCGGCCTAGCTAGAGCAAGAGAACATGTGAATCATCGGTGACATGCAATAATATGCTTCACCTGATTTGTGTAGTATCACTTTATTCTTTAACTATAGCCTATAGGTAACCGATCTTTAAATATCACGTTATACATGAAGCAAATTAAATGCGAAATTTGAGATTCTCGTGATCTCTATTCAGACAACCATCACATATCACACTATATATCTCTTTTAACCATACAAACTGTTTATTAATTCATAGAAAAAAATACCATACAAACTGGTATGTGATATTTGATGCAACACCTCTCACTTCACTAGTGCTACAACAATGTCTAGTTCTTCAGCTCCATTGTTGTCTCATCTTCAATCTGAAGATACATCTTTGCCTTTGACCTTTGATACCATCGTTGAAAAAAGCTTATCAGACTTTGGGCTCCGGCAGATTCTACAGATAGTTTTTATAGGGCTTGCCTTCACTTTCGATTCCATGCAGATATTCATCACCGTCTTCACAGACGCATACCCTACATGGCATTGTCTCGACCACAACATTTGCAATCCGAAAACAACTACAACCATGTGTGGACTACCTAGGTCAGCTTGGGATTGGGACGACGGTTTCAAGGGCAAAACCGTCATTTCAGAGTTCGATCTCGAGTGCTCGAGCTCCTTCCTCAGAGGTCTACCCACATCTGCTTTCTACATGGGTTCTATAGTCGGAGGGGTTTTACTTTCTACGATCCCAGATGGTTTCTTGGGACGCAAGCAACTACTCTTCTTATCAACTTCAACAATGTCAGTAACTGGAATCTCAATCTTCTTCTCTTCCAACATATGGAGCTACGTTTTCTTGAAGTTCTTGGTTGGATTCGCGCGTTCTCAGACGTGTACGTACGCGTTAGTTTTGATATCCGAGAGAGTCTCCACAAGGTGGAGACCTAGAGCTACTATGATTCCCTTTACTCTGTTTGTGTTAGGGTTTATGTCTCTCTCTGGAATTGCTTACCTTGTTCGTCACGCTTCCTGGAGAGTTCTTTATCTATGCACATCCGTACCAGCAGCCATTCACAGTGTTTTTATCTATCTCTTCGCGTTAGAGTCTCCTCGTTGGCTTCATCTGCAAGGAAGGGACCAAGAAGCAATTGAAGTACTCAAAACAATCTCACCTGAAACTATGGTTTACTTGGAATCAGTTTCTTCTAGGTTACATCAACAACAAACCCTAGAACAGGCTCCAAGGTACACGATCAAGGACTTATTCATCAGAAACTGGGCTTTTCGACGAATCATACTCGTTATGATCATAATGTTTGGGTTAGGTATGTCTTACTATGGAGTTCCATTAGCCGTGAGAGACATAAAACTCAACATCTACTTAAGTGAAGCCCTAAACGCAATGGTGGAGTTACCTTCCTTTGTTATAACACCGATCTTGCTGGAGAGATTCACCAGAAGAAGCTCTGTGCTAGTCAATTCTTTAATCGGAGGAGCATCAGGAGTGCTCTGTTTTGTCTTAAGCGTTTTAGGTAGAACAAAGATTGCTTTCGCTTTAGAACTTGTTTCCTTCCTTTGTGCGAGGATTGGGTTCAACTTGATGGCGGTTTATATCGTTGAGCTGTTCCCTACATGCGTGAGAAACAGCGCTATGACTATGCTGAGACAAGCACTTGTGGTTGGAGGAGCTTGTTGTCCTATCATTGCTTCTATTGGAAGACATGTTCCATCACTCTCTTTTGCGGTTTTTGGGTTTGCAATGTCGGGTTTTGGGTTGTTTGTTTTGCTTCTTCCTGAGACCAAAGGGTCAAGTCTTTGTGATACAATGGAAGCACAAGAGCTGAGAGACCAAGCCTTGAAGATTAGCCCTAGTTGCTGAAATTTTAAACTCTGTTTTTTTGTTTCAGAAGATCAAAGAGACCAAACTGTTTAGTCCTGGTTTAGGGTCTAGCTCCGAGTTCCATACGTAAAACCTATCTTAATAAACTCCAAATAAATGAAAAATAGATAAAATGGAGAAGATATTATCTGCTGAAACTAAGAAAATATTTACTAATCATCTATAAAGTCATCATGTGAATTTCTTTGTCTTTGAACAACTAATACAGAAGCATTTACATCTAAAGATGAAGCCAAGAAATCTCCGACAGTACCAAGCTCCGGACACTCTTCCCAATCTTTCATTCTCACCGTCATAGGACAGTCTCCTCTGCTCTTCCCGACAACAAACAGTGAATACATCTCTTCAATCTCTCTTAGAATTGTCAATGTATGTGTTCCGTTGCTCACACGCTTCTCAATGAACCCTACTTGTCCCGTTGACACAAACCTGTTGCATATGGAAGTGTGAGTTGCACTAAGGCCAAATATTCTGAAGAATGACATCTAATTCTTGATATAAACTCTAAAACGACATTTATTTTGAAACGAAAATTTTCCTCTAGAATGACATCTAATTCGAAACGGAGGGAGTACAAATTATATTTACTTTCAACCGAAAATTAATTGAAAACTACATTGGTTTTATAAATAATTTTATGTTTCTCAAATACAATTATTGATCAGAAAGGTATAATTAATAACATCTTATATATATATTTCCGCTACTTTCTTAATCTGTATGGAAGGAATAGTTTTTATAAATTTTGGAATCAAACGAATGTTTCATCCGGCTCAGAACCAGCTCTATTTTTAGAAAAGAGTGTCAGAAAGGTACCTGTTGTGGAACTCTTCTAATAAACTTCGGTCTGCTTCATGTTCAGTTTGATTTCTTCCTTGAACCTCGATAAGAATTTCACTACTATCAGGTGTTGTCGCATTTCTAACTGGAGACTCTGGATGTGAATCCTCGAGAACGAACTGTATGATTGTAAGATGTATCAACGTATTGCTCGCAAACCATTTACACAGAGCTAACGCCTCACGATCATCAGGACCACCAAAGAACAATACAGCAACGTTTTGCACCGAACCAAACCCATGCGGTTGTTGAAACCCGGTTATGTTCCGGTCCACATATATACCAACCGAACATGGAGCATGTCTTAGAACTTTACGGTTCAACTGCCTGAAATGTTCACCATCGTTTGTAGTCTTCCCATCGATCCTCTGATGTTTATGAAACGGAAGAAACACAATATTAACGCGAAGATCTTCCGTTGCGTTACATATCTCTTCATGCATGTTAACCATCTGCGTCACGAGTTTCACCTGTTGGATCAAGATCTTACTGTCTTTAGCAAACGAGTCGATAGAATCGTTGACCATTAAACTTTCGTTGGTCCCAAAGTCATCATCTACATGGACGTCTTCATCGTGCTCGTGATACAACAGCTCTGACTTTCGTTTCTTGGGGAGTGGTACGAGGTGCATGAGAAGAGGCGTGAATGGCTTAGAGGCTCCATGAGAGCCGCTCAAGGACGAGATAATAGCGATTTCGCCACGAGTGCAGCGGGCTCCGTAGACGCAAGATAAGGTGCGTAGCTCCTCGCTCGTGTCGTGAGATTCAAGGGAAGTTTTCTGGTGAGCAAAGTCTTTCTCTCTTGCTTTAAGCAAGAAAGATGCGAGGACACCGCTTAGTAGTGTCGTGATCACCAAAGATGCTATCATCATATCATGTATCGTTGTGGTCCACCATTTCTACAACCATATTCATACAATGAAAGTGAAAAAAAAAAATCGACAATAAAAACATCTAACAATATTGAATCTCTCACAACTAAAAGTAAAAATAAAAGTGAAAATATATGAAAATCGACTATAAATTCAACACATTATTAGTAAACTCTAAATAAATTTATCACCAATAAAAAGGTAAAAAAAATGTGAAAGTTAGTATTTATGAAAGATTTTCTCAACACTTGGCACTATTTTAATGGTCAATAATTTTTAATATAAAAATATATTATCGAAAGACTGAATTTCTCACCAATCATTCTCTAATACATATTTTAATATAGCCAAATCATGTCTGAGATACTTTAAAAAATCATGAATATTGTGAAAATTAACAAATTCAATAGTACACAATATATAGTATTGCATGTCCTCTTTAACAACTATATTGTATCTTCTTTATTCGTTTTATTTGTTATTTTGTACTACTCATGTGAAACAACATACTCTAAAATAAAGTTTACTGTGAAGGGCGAAAGAATATGATGAGAGTTCTAAAACGTAGCAGTAATCATTCAAGACTATATGTAAATGAAGAAAATACCTTTTCGGCGTAGTTTGCATCAAGAAGAAGGAGACCCACATGGCCTTTAACAGAGAGTATGGTTGGTAAGAAAAGCCAATATTTCTTGGGGATCTTCAGGTACATACAAGCGCTAATCACACCAATAAACTTCCCAACCAAGGTTAGAATGACTATAATAACAAGACCAATGTAATAACGTTTGGTCAACGCAATGATGCTGAATCTGAACCCAATGTAACCAAAGTAAACCGGAAGAACAAACTCATGGATCGGGTAACTAAGCCGGTTAATCAACGTTCTATGAGTTTTTCCTTGTCTTGGAAACATTATGCCGATGATGAAAACCGAAACCGAGGAGTTAACATCATAGGATTCGATTGTTATGGCAATGATGAGAAGGAAGACGAAGAAGACTAATGTCTCAGCTTTTGATAGGTACTTCTCTTTAGGGTTTCTCTTTGGGAGCCATGGAGCTAGAAACCTATTGAGCAAGATTAGGGCTCCTGTCATGAAAATGAATAGGAAGAGATCACCTATCAATGAACGAGAAGATGAATCAGAAGATGAAGCAGAAGATGAAGCAGAAGATGATATGACTGCTATGATTATAGTGTAGACCACCACGTTTGTTAATTCATTGAGCAATGCACAGGAGATGGTCAACCGTCCAATCTCAGATGTGCTGAGCTTCCAATCAGATATTGAACGGAGGACAACAGGAGATGCCGTGTTGGACAAGGTAATGAACAGAACCAAGTAAAACGTGAACAAGTCCTCTTTGATGCGTAATAAAGGGGTGAGGAGATAGAAGAAAGCGAGGCTGAGGAGAGCGCAAGACACAAAGGAGCTGATGGTAATCACGGTGACTTTCTTGAGGTTTCTTCTCATGAATTGTAGATCGAATTCAAGACCGATCAAGAACATGAAAGATGTTCGTAAAGCGAATGAGAAGAAAGAATAGTAATCTGCTGCATCGTTCTGGAGGAAGAAGTTTTTAACTTGGTCGATTCTTGAGAGCAGAGCAGGGCTCAACACAATACCAGCCTGTTAAAAAGAAAAATACAATCACATTATTTAAAAAAGCCCTAAAACACAAAGTGTTTCTTGTAACGCAAGGAAAAAAATATTTTCTTACAAGAATCTGAGCAACGGGACCAGCTTGACCACATGGTTTGAGAAGGAGAAAGAAGAGCTGAGAGAAGACAAGAATGCAAGCCATTTGGATAAACATAGTATTAAGAGGGTTAAACAATGCATCTCCTTGTGGCAAACAGAGCAACAGATTTGGATCCATCTTGTTCTTGATTCAATGATCATGAGCATTCTTCAAGCGTTATGATGAGAGAAATTGAAAAAGTTTGTCTAAAACAAGAAACATATAATTTTTCAAAATTATATTTCGTTTTGGTTTGGAGTTGATAAGAGTTTACAACTGCTTGACCGTCCTTTAATTGCTCAACACCTCTATTTCTCCCTTGGAAAACGGATTAAAGTAAAGCGTTGCCGCGTTGGTGTTGTCATAAAACAAACTAAATGGACTAAAATATGATTTCTAAACTATGTGGATAAAAGTGAAATATAAGAATATATAGGGTTAATATATCAAATATCGATAATAATAGGAGTTAATTGCAATTTACTCTTAAATGTGAACGTTTTAAAGAACCCTAGAAACTCCGGTGAGGAAGAGAGAGAGAAGGAACGATGTCGTTTTTGTATGAGAAGAGTGATACATGGAGATGGCTAGTGAGAAAGACGAGAGATTCGAGATCCTTCTTCTTCACGTTTGCTACAGTATGCGGTGTGATTCCTGGAATCATCGGCTATGGAGTTATGCAGGTCACTAATTCCACTAATCCGGAGCTTGAAGCCCGGCTCCGACAATCCGCCCGACCCGAAACCGTCGTATGTATCTCTGTGAATCATGGGAACTCATAAAAATGTTTCCTTTACACGAAAACTATGCGTTAGTCTTATGTTGTCGGCGAAAATTCCTTCATTTTAGGGTTTCTTTCCAGTTTCCAACTGATCATGATAGCTGTTTGGTGATAGAAACATGTAACTTGTCTTCTATTGTCGGAAAGCTAGTTTATTTAGTTTCATAAGTCTCTGGAGAGCCTTGTTGCTGTTTGGACTGATCATGATAACTGTTTGGTGATAGAAACATGTAACTTGTCTTCTATTGATGCTTGTCGGAAAGCTAGTTTATTTAGCTTCATAAGTCTCTGAAGAAGCCTTGCTGCTGTGTAGACTAATCTTGAAAGATGACTAGAACAGCTTGATGATTGTTGTGTCTAGGGCTTATCTGATCATGATAGAGTTTTTGTTATAGAAACGTGTGGCTTGTCTTCTATTGATACTTGTCTTAAAGCTAGTTTATTGGAGCTTTATGGTTAAGTTTTTGTTCATACATAAGTCTCTAGAGAAGCCTTGCTGCTGTGTTGACTTCGGTTGTAAGATGACTAGAACAAGATGATATTTGTGTCCCCCGTGCTTATGCTTCCTGAGAAATTGAGATGATTAGCAAAGCTTCGTGGCATTGAGTCCCTTCCTTAGTTGTTGAGGGTTTAAATTTGTTGCGGAGGTTACTTTATTGAGCTTCATGGTTACAATTTTTTTAGATACATAGTCTCTAGAGAAGTCTTGCTGCTCTGTTGACTTCTCTTGAAAGATGTCTAGAACAATTTGATGACTGTTGTGTCTCGTATATATGCTGCCTGAGAAATTAAAATACTTTGCAAAGCCCCATGGCAATGAGTTCTTCCATAGTTGTTGAGGCTTATATCTCTTGGGGAGGTTTTTAGAGTTTGGCTTGTGTAGATTCTGTGGCTAGTAACACCAACCCATTGTTCTGTGTTAACTAGGAACTTTCTGTATCTGAGTTTCTTACTCCGCTTAACAGTTTCGAGTCTGTTGGAATTTCTTGATCATAGCCGTATGTTAATAATCTAGACGGTTGATTTGTTAAGCATGAAGGTTACATGTTTTGTTTTCTTGAGGTTGATGGTAGCTTGTCATAGTGAAATTTTCAAACTTTTGTGTTAATTTTCTGCTGATGAGCAACATATTTCTGCAATGTATTGGTCAGATGATGGGTAAAGTAAACCAGGAGAGGCTAGCTGAATACCTCGGTGAGTTGAAACAGAAGCAGGATACCAACGACAGATACGTGGCTGCTCTAAGGGGAGAGACTCTTACCAGGAAGCCTTACCAAAGAATTCAACCAGTGCCAAAGCCAAATGACACGGTCACAACCAAACCTCAGTAATGATCACTTCTTAGAAAGAGCTTTTGTAATGGATGCCAAGATGGGCATTTCTATTGGCCGTTAATGTTTATTTCATTTATGTTTGAATCTGGCACGCTTCGTGGTTATCAAACTTGTGCAAGATTCAGTCACTTCAAACATTTTTGTGACAGTGAATAAAGATGTAAAACCCCATGTTTTGTACATTGCTTAGTCATTCTTGTTCGCAAGTTTTAACATTTATAGAACATAGGAAGTTTAGAGGTACAAGCTGATTCTGGAACAATGTCAGAGACACTTGGTAAACCGGAGATAGTATGTGCAAGGGTTTAGTTATGTTCAAAGGCACTGAGATCACGTGTAAAGCCTTAACCGGCTTGTGATCAGTACTCTGCAGATGGGACAGTTTGATATCCTGGATCCGCAATCTCCACAAGTCTGCAAACAAGAAGCTTGCAAATCTAAGTAAACTGGTTCTTTTTCATGGATGGGTTTGAGTGATACTGTAATAGGTAAACAGTTTAGGCTTCTTGAGGTGCAACTTACCATGTGACCACAGCCAAATGCCACGTCTTTTCGGTTAGTCAGACAAATAGGGCAGTTCTGTTTTAACAGGAAACAATATGAGAAAAGATGTGTTGAGACAAAAGGGAGCAACAGAAGATGAAAGTAAACAGTTTCTGGGACCTGTGTTTGTTCGTCCGAGTCTGATGATTGTTGTCCAGTGCGAGCTGGAGGTGTGTACGGAATAGGTGGTGGCCTCGGGTTTATTCTCTTGGCTAAGCCCGTCGTTTTCCTTTATAGATAAGAACATAAGCAGTTAAAAACGGACAGACAACAGCTCTTGTTCTGTTTCTTGGAGGATAGCAAAGAGGAAGTACCCGAGCAAGCCGAGTTCAATCGCTGCTTGATACTGAAAGGGAATCTCCATCAAAGCAGCAAGAGCAAATGCAGTTTCTTTGGCAGACGCTGTTGAGTCTCTCTTCATGATCTCAGTAAAGTTGACAAACTTTGCAGAAGAGCAGCAAGATCAAGATTCAAGAAGAAGCTCGGAATATAGATGGAAATGGAGTTTATAATGGGATGATAATACCTGAAAGTTATCGAACTCACGCTTAGGGATCTTGTCATCAAACTTCCTCATGTCTTCCCATGGACCGTCTCCAACACCGATTAAAACAATCGACAAAGCATATGAGCTGCAACGTGAAAGGAGCTTTTAGTAAACATAGTTGAAGAAGTGAAAGCAACTTGTTTTGTCACCTTGCGTTTACAATGGCGTCAATAGTTGTTTTCTCTTGTTGACTGAGTTCTCCCTCAGGCATATCCAAACCTCTTGTTACCTACACATTCAGAATGTGGTCTTGTTATTAAGTGTTCATACTTTTGTTTTGTTTTGAAGAGCTTTGTAACTTTACCTGACCATCAGCGACAATCACTAGAACATGAAACTGTCCGTTGTTTTTTTCAACAATGTCGACCGCAGCATCAATAAGCGGTCCATACGACGTTGGCCCTTTTCAACAATAGTTATTCAGAAGCTTATGGTTTGGTAATGGAAGGTAGAGCTTTTACATTTTGACTGACCTGATAAACGCAAGTTAGGTGCGATTCTTCTGTAACATGCTAAAACCTCTTCAAAGCCATGACATGGAGAGTTATCGCTGTGGAAACCAAACACTTCCTCGTCATGTGTTGTTGCTAGATGATGCAAGAAACAAACAGAGTGTCTTAGAAACAAAACTTGAATACTTTTTGTCTTAGGAAACAAACATAAAGTATAACTCACAGTCACCAAAGCCGAAACATGGGATGAGGTTGTCTTCATCGAAAGGAGCCAACGTTTGGCCTATTACAAATATTGCCTTTTCATATGGATTTGGAGTTTCTCCAAGATCGTGCAGACATTTTCCATTGAAAGATGTTTTCCCTGAAAAAAAAAACAGAACGACGATCACTCTGTTACATTCTGTATATGGTGTACTTTTTATAGTAAGTTGTGTTTTTTTTTTAATAGTTTACCAGTCCATTCGTTGCTCTTTGTGAAATCAATTCCAAGAATGAGATTTGATGATTCAAGACCAGCTTCTTTTAGAGCTTTTGATACCTTTTAGAAAATAAACATCATTCATTAACTCATCTACCACACTTCATCTCTAGTTGTTTTTTCATTCCTCAACTAGAAATTATACAAAATCATTTTCTGATGAAACTCATAAGATTAGATTTTGAAAAAACTAAAATACTAAAAATGAATAAATATCCTTATAAAGTTTTGTATATAATTTCTTTTAAAAATGTGAATATTTACAGCTAATAAAACACCATTTGTATATTTTTGTCTGTTCTAGTAATATTGTTTCAGTATACATTTTATATTTCAATGTCAACGAAACAGTGGAGAAAACAAAATAAAATAACCATTTATTTATATTTTTTACAGCACAAAAAATATTCTGAAGTTAGACTTTTGAAGAACTCAAAGAACATGGGAGTGGCAGAAACCATGGTGATCAAAAGTTTAAGTCAACATCAAGCACTGAGATTTAAAGAACAAGAAAGAAACCAAGAACCTGGTCGAGGGAAGAGAAACGATCAGGGATGAGTGCATACTTCTTCTTGGCAGCGTTGATCTTGTCGGAAACAGAGACTGATGCATGCGAAGGTGATGGTCCATCATTAGATACAGAAGACGACGTTGTTCTCTGTCCCCTAAAACTTCTACTGCTTTTGCTTTTACCACTTCCCAACTTCCGTAAGAAATTCCCCATACCCGTAGACATCTTTTTTTGCGTCTTCTTCGAATTGTAATATGATTTTCCAGATGGAGATAAGATTCTTTGCTGGAATATTTATTAAGGAAGGCACCTTTGCACATTTGATTCACTGTTCTTTATTATTTTACTACTATATTAACGCGGCAACCATTATTGTTACCTTCATTCTACGCGGCCAGGTAGGTCATATTCATATTTACTGCCCCACAAGAGTTTATTTAAAACTAAAAAATTAATTAAACATTATATTATATAGTATAACATACACTGCATATTTTTGTGAAATGGATAAACACACCATTAGTCAAATCATAATAATATTAGAATGACGTTGTGACTAAGATAGAATATGAAAAAGAATGACTCTCTGCTCAAGTTGGAATTAGATGCTCTTATGTTAATCTCAAGTCACACGTTAATTTTCTCTATTTATTGCATCTCCACCCATTTCTTAAAGCTTACTCTAGCGAAATTAGAAAACACAATATTCTGTTAGTCACGTAAACGTTCCAGCCTAATCCAGTATTGCTCCTCCGTTTTGGAAGTTGCCAAATACGTCTTAATCATTTTTTAACATACATTGTGGTTGCAAAATGCCATAATAAAACATACGAATCCAGTGTGTAACTGATAGAATTTGGATATGTGAATCTCCTTATCTATCCGTAACAGAAAAGTAATCTTTATTATCTTTGAAATTCGAATTACACTTGTACCAGAGATTGAGTCACAGTGGCCTAACCCACTCGTGAACTCCTCAAGTCTAACAGACTCTTACCCAAAATACAAGCTACCTTCTAACGATTACAACAATCTTTATTTATACTCCTCAGAGTCTAACTGACTCTAACAAACCCNTTTGAAATTCGAATTACACTTGTACCAGAGATTGAGTCACAGTGGCCTAACCCACTCGTGAACTCCTCAAGTCTAACAGACTCTTACCCAAAATACAAGCTACCTTCTAACGATTACAACAATCTTTATTTATACTCCTCAGAGTCTAACTGACTCTAACAAACCCCTTGACCAATCCACTGCGTCTCACTTGTCCAGCTCAGCATGATCTTTGGCTCCTCTTCTTCTCACGTAGCAATATTTCAGCTTATCAATACCCCCCGCCTCGTCACGAAGCTTGCCCTCAAGCGCATATGTAGGAAACTGCTTCTGAAACTCCACAATTGGAACCCAAGTGTTATCATGACTTGGTAACCCAATCCACTTAACCAACAACTCCAAACACCCTTTCTCATTATAGCGCGTATCAATCACATCCTCTGGTTGGATAACCACATCATCAAGATCAGTTAGCTGTGAAGGAAGAGGAAGGACCGTGTGATTAGAGCCTATCACCGCCTTGAGTTGAGAAACATGGAAAACTGGATGTATTTTCGAGTCAGCTGGCAACTTCAATCTATACGCAACTGTGCCAATGCGTTCCATGATCTCATATGGTCCAAAATATTTTGCTGAGAGCTTCTGACACACTCTTCGGACCACCGACTGTTGTCTATAAGGTCGAAGTTTCAGAAAAACTTGTTGACCAACATCAAACACTACCTCCCTGCGATGCTTGTCAGCATTATTTTTCATCAGCTGCTGCGCATGTTCCAATTGTTTCTTGATATCACACAACATCGCGTCCCTTTCTTTCAACAATACTTCAAGCTCAGCATTCTTCGTTGACCCGTCTTCAAAACGCAATAATCCCGGAGGATCACGCCCATATGTCACGCGAAAAGGAGTAGCTTTAAGCGAAGTGTGGTATGTGGTATTATACCATAGCTCAGCCCAACCCAAGAAACGATGCCAAGTCCTTGGGTGTGTCGATGCAAAGCACCTCAGGTAAGTCTCAAGACATCTGTTGACCACCTCTGTTTGACCGTCCGTTTGGGGATGAAAAGAGGTGCTGAACTTGAGTTGAGTACCTGATAGTCTGAATAGTTCCTTCCAAAAATCACTCAGGAACACCTTATCACGGTCCGAGACTATTGATCGCGGAAACCCGTGGAGCTTAACGACTTCACTGACAAAGCTTCGAGCCACATCACGCGCTTGAAATGGATGTTTGAGACTGAGGAAATGGGCATATTTACTCAACCTGTCCACTACTACAAACACAACATTGTAACCCTCCGACGTAGGAAGCCCTTCAACAAAATCCATAGACAAATCCTCCCAAATCAAAGATGGTATTGGTAATGGTTGCAACAACCCCGCAGGTGCCAGTGTCGAGTATTTATGTGTTTGACAAGTAGCACACTCCGCGACAAATCGCTGAACACGTTTAAACATGCCTTCCCAATAGAACCACTGCTGCACACGCTTAAAGGTCTTAAGCACCCCCGAGTGTCCTCCCAAAAGGCCATCATGACATTCTGATAATATCAGAGGAATGATCTTAGACGTCTTTGGAATGACTAACTTTTGTTTGAACCAGAGACGACCTTGTTGAATAGTGAACCCGTCACGTTCCATCTGCCCTGACTTCACCTGCCTCAGCCATTCTTGTATCGACCCATCCTCATCAATTTCCTTATAGAGATCTTCCACCTGAATGACGGATGGTAACGTCATTGCCATAACTGAACTTGTAGCCAACACCGACTCCTTTGGAAACATTCTAGATAACCCATCTGCTGCTGTGTTATCCACCCCTTTCTTATACACAATTGTAAATTCATCACCCAACAGTTTTATGAGCCACTTCTGGTATTCCATGTTGACTTCTCGTTGTTCGAGGAGAAACTTGAGACTCTTCTGATCCGTGTGTACCACAAACTTTCTGCCCAGCAAATAATGCTTCCACTTCCGGACCGATAACACCACTGCCATTAGCTCCCGTTCATAGATAGGTTTCAATTGTTCTCGGGCAGATAAACTGTGACTAAAATAAGCGATGGGACGACCTTCCTGCATCAACACAGCCCCCAACCCGAACCCTGAAGCATCCGTTTCGACCACAAATTCCTTGGTAAAATCAGGTAACGCCAACACTGGAGTGGAGACCATTACTGACTTGAGCTTATCAAATGCTTCCTGAGCTTTATTCGACCACACAAACATATCCTTCTTCAACAAATCTGTAAGTGGCCTAGCCAACACCCCATAATTCCTCACGAATCGTCTGTAATACCCCGTTAGACCCAAGAACCCTCTGAGCTGCTTAATTGTTTTTGGAGTAGGCCACAATCTCATCGCCTCTGTTTTACTATCTTCAGTCGCTACCCCTTTCTCTGATATGATATGGCCCAAGTACTCAATTTGTTTCTGACCAAAACTGCATTTCTTCTTGTTGGCATATAACCCATTAGCAGTCAGTATCGACAAGGTTAACTCCAGATGCTCCAGATGTGCCGACTCGGACTTACTGTAAACTAGAATATCATCAAAAAAGACCAGTATGAACTTTCCAAGATAAGGTCTGAAAATGTCATTCATGAGAGCTTGGAAAGTGGCTGGTGCATTTGTCAACCCAAAAGGCATGACTAGGAATTCATAATGACCATCATTAGTACGAAACGCTGTTTTCTCAACATCTTGAGGTTCCATTCGTATTTGATGATATCCCGCAGTAAGGTCCAGCTTTGAAAAGCAGATTGCTCCGTTCAATTCATCAAGGAGCTGATCAATGACAGGTATAGGAAACTTATCTGCCACTGTCGCCTGATTAACAGCCCTATAATCCACACAAAAACGCCATGTATTGTCTTTCTTCTTGACTAATAACACAGGACTCGAGAAAGGACTTCGGCTTGGTTGAATGATACCCTTCGCCAACATATCATTAACCAAAACTGTCATCGCTTCTTTGTGAGTCTGAGGATATCTGTAGGGTCTTACGCTAATAGGAGGTGTTCCCGGTTTCAGAACAATTGCATGTTCATGGCCCCTGATCGGAGGAAGGCCTGAAGGAAGTGAGAACACCTTGTTAAACGTCTGTAGTAGCTCTTCCAATCGCTTCGGAAGGAGTATCGATGTTGTTAGAGTCTGATGTTGTGGCTCCTCTAACTCATCCAACTCTAAAGCTTGTAATGGTGTTGATTGAGTATCTTTAATAGCTCGAAGAGGCAAATGTAAGTCTGATTCTCCGACCAATGTCTCTCGTTTGCCATTATACAGGAAACTCATTTCATGTCTCAGCCAATCTACTTCACACACCCCGAGTGTTCTGAGCCATTGTACTCCCAAAACCAAATCTATCTGGCCGATTTCCAATGAGATGCAGTCGATACAGAAGTGAAGGCCTTGTAATTCCAACTGAATATTCCTGCATATCCCCGTACCATTAACGGTCATTCCTGATCCCAACAATACCGGTAGGTCATCTCGTGACTGACAGGTCATGTGAAGTTTCTTCAGAACCTCTGGCTTAACGAAGTTGTGTGTTGCCCCTGAATCTATGAGCACCACCACTACCAACTTCCCAATTCTGCCGCGTAGTTTATGAGTTGTTGGAGAGTCATATCCCAAAAATGAACATAGTGACAAAGACATCACTTGAGGAGTAACCTCTTGCATTGTCATTGCTTCCTCCCATAAATCCTCCAAAATCTCCACCTCAAATCCCTCAAACAGTGTCATCACCTGCAATTGTGGTTTCCCGCACACATGACCCCTGAACCATTTTTCACGACACTTAAAACACAACTTTAGTCGTTTCAGTTCAGCCAATTCTGTTGGTGTCAAATGTACTCTGTCTCGTTCTCCTGGTGCATGTTTCTTTTCTGTCTCCAACCCCTTCCCTCTCTCTCCTGAATCAATCACTTTGCTTACGGTGGTTATGGTTGACGAAGGATAGTGATTACGTGGAGGTCTAGCTGCTGTCTGTGACTGATAATTCCCTGCCTTATTTGTGTGTGTGCTCAACATTTGACAAAAAGCGCTTGACTCCATTTTCATCACTGCCGCAATGTGATTCCTGAGACCTTTAGGTTCTTTCATCTTAATAACCTCTTTCATCTCTGGTTTTAACCCCGTATAGAACTTGTTTATCATATTAGCTTCACTCAATCCTTTGACCAGGTTAAGCAACTCTTCAAACTCACTCACGTATGCTCTGATCGAGCCCGTCTGACGTAACGCGCACAACCTATTCCCCGGTTCATCATCCATTGATTCAGTAAAACGTTCTAACATCCTTT